TTATAGAAGATTGTATTAGCTTTCCAGGGACGACTTGAATCACCTCAATTGAATTTCATATGAGATAGATATCACAAAAATACTCTCAGCGTATTATAAATTGCATGCTCAAAAACTAAAAAATAAAATAAAATCAAATATTAATGAATTGAGTATCATATTCGACTAAATTAAATGAGATACAAGTAAAATCATTATAAATATGATATTGGAAATAAGTGCAATGAATTAAGTACTATTCAATTGCGATAGTCCGTAGTGAGCTTGTTTAAAAAAGCCATAAGTAAATAACACATCATTAGAGAGTAGTGAATATCATGAAATAAATTTATAATAAGGACAAGAAAAAATCATTTTCCAACTCATTGAGCAAATAAATAAATAAATAAATTATTTTCATCAATTAAGGACAAGAAAAAAAAGATAAATCACATATATGAAAATTAATACATAAATTGATAAATAGACATCATATGACGAATTTCGTTTACTAATTATTGTCGTTGATGCTGCTCTTGCCAACAATAGTGACATCATGCTGTCATGCTTCAACAAATAAATAAACTAAGTACCCATCCATTTACTCGAATTCATTCCATTATTAATTTCATCCATTTATGAGGTGTGTGTTGTCATGATACTTTGTCTCATCTTTATCATGGAAAAAGAAAAACATTGAAACTCATTAAAAAACAATACGTTTAATTATGATGTTATGATGAAACTACAATATATATAAAATGAAATTGAATAACACATATCACATATTGATGAGTGCAGATTGTTATATGAAATTATAATTGAATAAGAATGATACTTTAGTTGTACCGTAATTAAACTATATTGTGCTTAAAATGAAACTGAATAATAAATCTCACATATATATTAAATGTATATTATCAAATGTATATTGTTAAATGAAACTGTAGTTTAATTTAGAAAATAGTTTCTTGGTGCACTAATATGAAGGTGTTGATTCCCAAGAGAGTTGAACCATAATTGATTCCCTCAAATTTAGAAACATTACAGTTGGCCTCTATTGATTGATTGCTTGTTTTGGATAAACGAATTGATTGCTATAAAATGTGAACTTTGAATATTTTTTTGCCTAAAGTGTCATTCCGCACCATAAACTATATTGGATTGTTATGTCGCACCATGAGATTTCATAACGTATATTTCGCTTAGGAATAGCAATTTCAATTCGCCCCGTGGATATTCACCCGAATTCACCCCGCGTGAATCGAATTTTTTTGAGTGATAGTGGGTGATGGGTCGGGGGTGGATCTTAAAAAAATAAACCCGCGGTGGGTCGGGTTGGATTCAGGTTCTATATACAAAACCTTCCTAGAACCCCACCTGACCCACCCTGTAGTCATTTATAAAAGTTTTTTATAACTTCATGTAAATTTTTACTATTTTTATATCTAAACTACTAAATTTATTTTTAAAAATTAACAAATTAGTTATTATATTTAAATATTTACATTATTTTATGTTTTATATAATTAATGAATTTTATTATTTTATTATGGGTAGGTAATTTGAATATTATTTTTTGAAAAAATATTAATAAGATTATAAGTGCTGGGTACCCATAGTGGGCACCCGCACCCGATGGGGGTGGGGGTGGATTTTGAAAAAGTCCACCCAATGCGGGTTGGCGGTGTGGATGGGTGAAGAAAATATAAGGTGGTCGGGTGATGGATGTAGCCCACCCCGACCCACACCCGATCCATTGCCATCCCTAATTTCGCTCCACTCAGGAGCGGATTTAGAAATCTTCATCAGTCGGGGCAAAAGAGTTAAAAACCAATGAGAATATTTTGAAAAAAGAGAGAGAGAGAGAGAGAGAGAGAGAGAGAAAGGCTGAGTCATAAATATCGTGAATTAGGATGAAAAAATTAAAATACATCAAAATGAGATAAAAATTATATATTCAAAACAAAATATGAAATATAATTAATTAGATAAAATAATTTGAATAGAAAACATATTATAATAAAACACTCATATCACTATTAATATTAAAAATGAGGAAGAAAAAAACAATGTTACAAATAAAATTTCACAAAATATGAAATATGATTAATTAGATAAAATAGTTCGAATAGAAAACATATTATAAATCACTAATATCATTATTAATATTAAAAATGATATTAAAAACACAATATTACAAATAAAAAATTGAATTACACTTAATCTCACTATAAATTTATGCTATAGAATTTGAACCCCTACCATTTAGGGAAAAAAATTGGATATGTTACTATCTAAGCTAACCCATCTTTTAGTTAAATTTATAAGTTAACTATATATATACAATAGGCACAAAAGATCTTCTGATTTAATGATATCAAATTACTTCTCTATGAAACCCAACAGGGTAGCTCAAGTGGCAAATGAGCTCTCTTTGTGGAGGAGAATTCCGGGATAACCCGGGTTTAATTTTCACAAGTGACAATTCCCTTTGGGCTAGCTTCTGTGCCTCTCGAAGCGAACCGGGTGGACCTGGTTTACACCAAAAATAAAATAAAATTACTTCTCTATGTGGAAGGTGATGAGTTTGAGCCTCAGTGGAATGGGGGCAGTCGCCAAAACTCCTATTGTCGAGGTGAGAGGCATGTCCTCGTCATTATTTTTGCAGTTGTGTGATATTTCGAAGTGTCAAAAACCAAGTCAAATTGTCTATGGTGGGTTTTATTTTCAATTTTGTCTTAAACGACTTTGATGTCATAAACTAGTCTAAGAGTTCTGTGTTATTGCTCAATATTGTCATCCGTTAGGTAATCCGTCGAAATGGTGTTAAGTACAGGGATAAATTAGTAATTTTAAATTTTGGTCTTTGAATCGTTCCTCTTTCAGGATTTACTACGAGGATGTTTCCATGTCGTTTGTCTAGGAGTGGCAGCCATGAACTCCCAAGCACAGATTCTCCGACGGTGCCCGCCTCAGTGGAATGGGGGCAGTCGCCAAAACTCCTATTGCCGAGGTGAGAGGCATGTCCTCGTCATTATTTTTGCAGTTGTGGGATATTTCGAAGTGTCAAAAACCAAGTCAAATTGTCTATAGTGGGTTTTATTTTCAATTTTGTCTTAAACGACTTTGATGTCATAAACTAGTCCAAGAGTTCTGTGTTATTGCTCAATATTGTCATCCGTTAGGTAATCCGTCGAAATGGTGTTAAGTACAGGGATAAATTAGTAATTTTAAATTTTGGTCTTTGAATCGTTCCTCTTTCAGGATTTACTACGAGGATGTTTCCATGCCGTTTGTCTAGGAGTCGCAGCCATGAACTCCCAAGCACAGATTCTCCGACGGCGCCCGCCTCAGTGGAATGGGGGCAGTTGCCAAAACTCCTATTGCCGAGGTGAGAGGCATGTCCTCGTCATTATTTTTGCAATTGTGTGATATTTCGAAGTGTCAAAAACCAAGTCAAATTGTCTATAGTGGGTTTTATTTTCAATTTTTTCTTAAACGACTTTGATGTCATAAACTAGTCCAAGAGTTCTGTATTATTGCTCAATATTGTCATCCGTTAGGTAATCCGTCGAAATGATGTTAAGTACAGGGATAAATTAATAATTTTAAAATTTGGTCTTTGAACCGTTCCTCTTTCAGGATTTACTACGAGGATGTTTCCATGCCGTTTGTCTAGGAGTCGCAGCCATGAACTCCCAAGCACAGATTCTCCGACGACGGCGCCGCGCTCCGATCCGCTCACTCCTCCTCCCTCTTTCTACTGCAATCAGTCATCGCCACGCCGTCACTCTCCCTCTCGCTGTCTTTTTCCTCCTCCATCTCCTCGTTCTGCGCCACGCACACGCCTTCCAGCTTCCGTGGCTAGCGAGCCCGGCGATTTTCGTACTCCCGATCCTCTTTCGATAAGGACATGAAAGACCTAAATTTAAAATTACTAATTTATCTATGTACTTAACCCCCTTTGACAGATTACCTAATGGAGGACAATATTGAGCAATAACAGTCACTTGCAATTTAGTACTTATATTTTTCGGAATCAGTATAATCTTATTCTTAGATTCAACAACGTTGCTTTCCTCCGAAAGTTGCCTGACATCATCACCATTCAATGAATTGCATGCAGCTCTTAATTTAATCCTTTTCAAAATATAGCTTGATTAGCTTCTATTGAAGCTATTGTAGCCGCGGTCGAGCCAAAATGGGGCTCGGAATTCTAGCAAGCTTGGCGAAACTCGATGCTGAAATGAGACCGTATGAAATTGAAGAGTCCAAACTGAAGCCACTTTTTGTTAATTGTTCTTATTATTCAAGAAATAAAATGGTCATTCTCCCGGAAGATGGCCACCGCAAGGGCTAAGATCGTGCCGCCGTTATATCACCGACCAGAAATTCGAAGCTTTTCAGCTAGTCAGTGAGCCTGAGATGATTTATTTAGCGATTTAGGGTCCACTAAAACATGAAAAAAGTTTCACATGCATCAGCATATTACCAGTGCCATGTCATCTTGGTAACTGAAAAATCTGTAAAAAAAATACTAAATGACAAAAAATTAATGGTAAGTGGAGCAAAATATAAACTGATATGGTGCAACATGAACAATCTGATATGGTTCACCTGCGGGATGACACTTTAGTCATAATTTTTTTTTTTGGTTTTGAAAAACATAAACTTATTTCATTTCTAAAGATAAAACATTACCGATAATAGGCGGAGGCCTGGGTTTATCAACTACTTCGAACAATCTGACATAGAAACGGATCGAACTGTCTAACTAACAAGTGAGCAGCCCAATTCGTAGATCATCTAACAAAATATAAACTTAAATTACATGAGAGAAGTCTCCCATCAAGTTAAAGAGATTAAAAGAAAAATATTTTATGAGATTTTTTTTCAATATACTAGTTTAATTTTTATGTTGTAGTATTTACTATTTAGTTAGTATCATTGAAACAATGTTTTTTTTTTATAGGTTGTTGCAGGTGTCATAAATAAAGACAGATGGACACGAGAAATATTTAAGGAATGGAAGAGTGTAATGAATCGACTCCAGCAGTGGTCTGTTCACCCATCTTTGGTCTCAAACTCTTTCCTAGCTAGTTGAGCTTCATCAATCATCACCAATGGCAACCACGGCTCTTAACCCCATCGACATAAATGGCGAGAAACAGAAGCACCGCAACCGGGAGGCGGAGGAGCCGGCTAGCCCCGCCACCCTCTTGTTTCACACAACAACTCTCAATTGCTGCATCGTCGCCATTCTTGGGTACACCACTAAACTCAACGTGGATGTAATCAAGAAGGGTCTCGAGTGTACTTTGGTTAATCACCCTCGCTTTTCTAGCATCCTCGTAAGATTTATTTATTTTTTATATGTCTGGTTTTATATATATCACTGCTGGAAATTATGGAATTTCCAACCACATGAAGGTGATCTTAAATCAAGTTGAAAGCTATGTTCCGACCACTTTTGGTATCCGGAAAAACCTTTGTTGTTATTTCCGATCACTTTTTGCTTTCGACTTGATTTAAATCACTTTCAGGTGGTCTAGAATTTCATAATTTCCAGCAGTGTATGTTGGGCATTCGCTACTAGCTATACCTTTTGGCAGCGCTTGATGTTAATTACAAGTGGTGTTTGCAATTTTTGTGTTCTTTCTTAAAGGCGATGGGCGATAAGAGATGGAAGAAAAGGTGGATTCCGACGAAGGTTAACGTGGACGATCATATTATATGCCCGGATTTGGAGCCGGACATGCAGTCGGCCGACGAGTTCGTGGAAAACTATGCCTCAAGTTTAACAACAAAATCGTTGGACATGTCGAAGCCATTGTGGGAATTGCACATTCTAAACGTCAAAACCTCCGAAGCAAACTCCATAGCAATCTTTAAGATACACCATTCACTTGGGGACGGTATTTCTCTCATCTCTCTGGTCCTTGCTTGTTTCCGAAAGACTTCGGATCCGAATTCCCTGCCCACAATTCCATCCAGCAATAGAACCCGCCCCAAAATTGGGTTTTTCCGACAGCTTTTTTTGTCAGCTTGGCTATGTTTGACGTTGATTCTTAACACTCTCGTGGATATAACGTTGTTCTTGGCTACGATACTGTTTCTCAAGGATACGAATACTCCGTTGAAAGCCAAAAACGGGGATGCTTTCAACCCCCGAAGACTCGTGCATCGTATTGTTAATCTAGATGACGTAAAGCTAGTCAAAAATGCAATGAATGTGGTACGTACAAAGTAAATATACCTAGAACTTTGATTATTTTTCATTACATAAAAAAAATTATAATTTCTTAATATATATAAAAAAATAAACAAGAAAAATCAATATAATGATTTTTTTTTTAAACACATGATTATTTATAGAGTTAATTATCAAAATGACACCTTGACTATAGCGAAATTACCAATTTGGTCCTCAATTATTTTTTTGACCAATGAAGTCTCAACTTTAAATATCTTAATCAATTTGGTCCTCCGTTAGTTTTGTCGTTAGACTTCCATTAACTTGGGAACAAATTGGTAATTTTGCTATAGTCAAGGACCATTTCAGTAATTAACTTTAGGCGTTGACAATTCCGTTCGTTTTTCCCGAGCTGAATCGTATCGAACATTGAATTAATTAACCGTACTGAACCATTCGGCTAAAAACATAAAGGAAATACCGTTTGATTTTATTTAAAATATAATAATAATAATAATAATAATAATAATAATAATAATAATAATAATAATAATAAAAGAAGTAAATCCAAGTCTCTTGATGCCTCCTTTACCATTCAGTCTAATGTGTACTATTTTCTTATAAAACATTTACGAGAGATACCAGTGAGAATATAAGCTGAACGACAGAGCAGGCAGCAAGAGACTTGAATTTACTTCATTATTATTATTATTATTATTATTATTATTATTATTATTATTATTATTATTATTATTATTATTTAAAAATTCAAACTATATTCGATTCGATTCAATTTTTAACGAATAATTCGGTTTGATTTGGTTTTTTACCAAACCATTCGGTATACAAGAATCTATTACCGTTTGGTTGTTCGATTCGGTTCAGTACAGTTCGGTTCGGGAAAGCCGAACTGAATTGCCACCCCTAAAGTTAATTACTGAAATAGTCCATTGACTATAGCAAAATTACCAATTTGGTCCCAAGTTAACGGAAGTCTAACTGCAAAACTAACGGAGGACCAAATTGATTAAGATTTTTAAAGTTGAGGGACTCAATTGGTCAAAAAAATAATCGAGGACCAAATTGGTAATTTCGCTATATGCAATGGATCATTTTGATAATTAACTCTTCTTTATATTATAATAAAGTATTATGTGTTCTATACTTTCTAAATATTTTTATCTAGTGACTGCCAACAGTACATAGTACTTGGCATATTATTGGTTCTTTGTATAGATAAAATTAATAATTTGAACACCATTATTTGTAAAAAAAATAAAATAAAATTGTATTGTATTATTTTCTCAAATTCTCACATTTTTTAAATAATTAAATATATGATCATTCTTTTTGCAATTTTAGACAATAAACGATGTAATGATGGGGATGTTACAAGCCGGATTGTCACGTTATCTCAACAGAAAATATGGTAAGTTTTCAATGGCTCTTTCATAGGAATAAAAAAATTTTAACCAAAATTATTCACCACTATTTAATGTGGTTATATAAATAAATCATTTTTTTTAATGCGGGAAAGAATTAACTAATTTATGGTAATTAATATATAAAAAGAATTTTATTACTACGTAAATGATTAAAATATTTAGTCTATTCTTTACCCTTTTTTTTTTTTTTTGAATGCTATGAAAGGTCATTACATATCATCTAAGTACAATGTGCTTTGCTATTCTTTACCTATTTAATATACAACACATTAATTCATGGGGTCTTATCATTCTTAACTAGAGGTATGTTTTAAAAGCTAAACGAATAATTCATATTTTTAAGTTAAACGAGGATTTTATACAAATAATTAATTAAATGCATTTTCCTTAATATCAATTATCTTAATTGGTTTGATTTAGTTAAACAATATTATTATTATTATTATTATTATTATTATTATTATTATTTAATTATTTGTTTAGGTATCATAAAAGGGAGTGCAACCAATAACAAAAATAATCTGCCCAAGAATTTTCGTCTTAGAGGGGCAATCATGTTCAACATCAGATCATCCACAGGAATAAAGGTCTCAATATAATTATATTATTGATTGAATGTTGAATCGCATTTCCTTATCTTATTTTCTCTTTTTTCTTCTTTCATATTCACAATTTTTTTAATTATCTATTTATATGTTTTTTTATGAAATTAAATATGAGAAGTTATGTTTTCAAAAAAAAAAAAAAAAAATGAGAAGTAATGTTAGCTTTGTTTGACAAGCCTAGTTGAAAAGCAAGCTGAAAGATAAAGCTGAAAAGGTAGTAGCTAATAAGCTAACTAATTAAAATTAGAGTATTTGGTAAAATTAATTGATTTATTAGCAGTGTAAAAAGATATAAAAGAATAAATTAAGATAGTATGATTTTGATGAATGAAGGGTAGATGTGTTATTTTTCTAAATTAATAAAGATAAAAAAGTCAAAAAATTTAAAAAGTCAGGAGCTTATTTTGAGATAGCGTTTAAAAATAATCATTCTTCCAAAAGGTTGAATCCCAACCCTAAGGGCCCTCACACCCCGACCCGGTAGAGCATTTGGGAGAATATAAATCATAGTAACTCAACTAAACATGAACCACCGAGGTTAGACCTTTGCTTACTGCACACAAGGAACGTTTCAAAATAATCATATTTTACCAAAGAGAGATAAAAGCTTATTTATAGTTTAAAATAAGGTATAAGCTCTACCAAATAGAGCCCTACTTTGAGCAAGGTGTAATGGCAATTTCAATATATTATATTAAATACGAATAAGGTTCAAATTAGCCACTGAACGAACAAAAAGTGCAATTAGGCCACTGAACACTCCAAAAACGGGCAATTAGGCCACTGAACTCTCCAAACGTATGCAATTTCACCAGATAGCAGGTTACCATCAATTTTAGCAGGTTACCTGCTTACGTGGCAGCTGAGTTGGCATTTTTAATAATTTTTAATAATTTTTAATAACTAATTTTAATAATAAATTTTATAAAAAATTGAAAAAAAAAATAAAATAAAAAATAAAATAAAGTCGTTTTTATTTTTTAATTTTTTTTTAAATTAAAATTTATTATTAAAAATGATTTAAAATTTATTAAAAATGCCAACTCAGCTGCCACGTAAGCAGATAACCTGCTATCAGGTGAAATTGCACATTTTTGAAGTGTTCAATGGCCTAATTGCACTTTTTTTTCGTTCAGTGGCCTAATTGCATTTTCAGGTTACGTTCAGTGGCCAATTTGAACCTTATTCCTATTAAATAAAGTTCCAATTAAGTCATAATATATATAACTTTATTTTGTGGCTTGCATCATACGCAGGCTTTAGCTGAGATGATGGAGAAGAAATCAAGAGCAAAATGGGGCAATAAGATTGGACTTGCCTTAGCTCCATTATTCATTGGATTTCAAGAAAACCCTTTGGATTATATCTATAAAGCAAAAGCCACCATTGATCGAAAGAAGCTCTCCATGGAGTCCAGATTTTCTTTCACTGCTGCCCGTATCGTACTCAAGCTTTTTGGAGTTCAGGTAAATACATTTTTAATCATGCCTATTTTTTATCAAGACAATAATCGTATTATCTTTAATTTCTTTATCACCTACCAAAATTTAAACATATGATCATGCGTTTGGAATGATAATCTGGATGTCAACACACTACAGGGTAGTTGGCCTTATTATTTAAAATTGTTGACAATTGTTGCTACATTACTTATTTTCTTTATTATTTAAAATAGTATAAACAAAAATATCTTTACTAAATATCAAAATGTGGCCCCCGAGCACAGTGCGATACCCATATAACCATATTAAATGCATCGATCTAACTTGTACTGCTAGCTACCAATTCCCATTTATATACATTTTTATTTATGTTATTGTACATGTGCTATGTCCCCAATTATCATCATAACACACACAACCAACTTAGTCATGACGTTAATTTTGTAATCATAAACTTACAAGTTTAATTCTGACGGGAGCAGTTTATTGAATTTTTATGTTTGACTAGACAACTATAAGCTTTTATATATAATTATTATTGTAAACTTTCAACTTTACAATATTTATAAAATTGACTCCGATCCGCTCATATTTCCATTATTTAATTCACCCCTCAACTATTAATTCACCCAAAAGAATGGATCATATTAGTCTTTTTACTTGGAAGCATATTATCATTTGAACCATCTCATATATATATATATATATATATATATATATATATATATATAGGGTTGAGTTCACATGAGGACCATAATATATAGAGGACTGTGTGGATTGATTACGGGCACACAATATATTAGTATCATGCACAAAATTTAATACACAATGCACACAAGAATACATGTAAACATCTAGTTTCGAACACAGGCTCTATTAGTTAACAAACCTATGCACACAACATACAAACTCAGGCACACGACATACAAATTTTATATTTTGATGATATCAATTAATTAGGAATTTTAGTCCCAAACTTATTTTATTTTAGACTTAGAATTTTCTCTACACAACATTCGAATAGTTCAAAATGGTACCTCGAGAAGTCACAATTCTGTTCAATGACTTATTCGAACGATAACTCGAGTGGCCAGTCTCAATAAATGATTTGAAAAGTAACCCAAGTGGTTATCTCTCGAATAGTCTGAGATGAAGATAAGAAGGCAAGAAGACTGAAGATTCGAAGAGTAGAATACAGTAAGGCTAAAAGGTTGTAAATGCCGAGAGGTGGAAGGGCCTACCTTCCGAAGTGTTAGCAGAACGAGTAGTAAGGTCATCCTTTCGGAACCGAAAGGTTGCAAAGGCTGAAAGATGGAAGAGCCTACCTTTCGAGAAGTAAAAGGGACGAATGGTAAAGTCAACCATTCATAACCGAGAGGTTTAAGGTTCGAAGAGTTAACCTAGTTAACCATTCGAAAGGACTGCTCGAGACATTTTCTAAGCTAAACAATCCAAAACCTTAATTTTTAAGGTGAACGTGTCCAAGGTAAAGTGGGTCTTAGGAACACATTCCAAGAAAGATTTTCCTTAAAAGCCTTGACATTTTGAGCAGAGAGAAATGATATGTTCAGCGCAAATTAAGTCTTTAATGGTTGGAAAATCTAACAAGTCACCTACCATCCAGATTACCCGCCGGTATTTAGACACTGGTTAATATCCTTTTGAATTTGGTTTCTCTCCAACTGACCTTTTTATTCCAAGAGTGGTTGAAAACGGAAAAGCACCACAAACGAGTAGTCAACCGAAAGTTGACATTATTCAAAAGGTTGAGGAACCTCCGAGAGGTAAGCCTTCTAAAGGTAACTCGAAGAGTGTTTAAAACACCAATCAGAATAGATCGAGTGGTAGAGGAGCGAATGGTCAACCAAAGAAGAGCAACCATCCGAGAGGTAAGCCTAATAACTACTCGGGTTATAACTATTCGCGAAGCATACTGGATCGTAATTATACGAATGGTAATCCCAAGAGGTTCAATAAGCCTAAGAGGTCATCTAGAAGACCAATGAGAAGCACTAGAAGGTTATATTCTTCTAATGAGGACTGGCTTATGGTCCATGAACCAATGTCAAAAGCGCAATTTGAACGATTACATAGACATAAGCAAACGTTCTATTCTAGGTTGTATTGCAATGCGCTTCGACCCCAATTTCAAAAATCATCATATACACCTAAAAAGCCCAAAAACTTTCAAAACATCCCTTATGATTATGAAGTTTTTAATGGCTATGTTGGACCGAAATTTAGGCTAACGAGTTCAAGGTACAAGTGGATGCCTAAACTCACTACTAACCAAGAAGGACCCAAGAAGGTATGAGTATCTAAATCAAATTAATTTTTTATTTCAAGTAAACTAGATTTTTTGGTACGTGGATAGTGGATGCTCAAGGCACATGATTGGAGACAAATCAAATTTGAGCAACTATCAAGCAGTCAACGGTCCCAAGGTGGTTTTCGGTGGTGAAACGAGTGGCCAAACAAAGGGAATAGGGAACTTCTAGATGAATGGATTGGTTATTAAGGAAGTTTCGTATGTTGAAGGTTTAAAGTTCAATCTACTAAGTACAAGTCAGTTTTGTGATTGGCTATAAAGTTGAATTTTCAAAGGATGCATACCATGTCATAAATGAAGCTACAAAAGGGGTTAGTTCTTTCATCAATGAGGAGAAAGAACATGTATGTAGTGGATTGAGACTTGGATAAGCGGAATGTATGCCTGGTAGCTAAGGATAACGTTGACTAAAGTTGGGAATAACATAACAAGTTAAACCATCTCAATTTTATGACCATAAATAAGCTAGCCAAAGGAGATTTGGTAGAGGGACTACCAAATGTGGTTTATAATAAGAATAAGATTTGTGAAGTCTGTCAAAATGAGAAACAAATCAAGTCTTCGCTTAAGTCAAAATCCATAGAATCAACCTCTAGACCTTACAGTCTACTCCATATGGATTTGTTTGGACCAGTCGACCCTGTAAGCTTAAGTGGTAGGAAATATAATTTAGTGGTAGTAGATGACAACACTAAGTATACTTGGACACTGTTCTTAATGAAAAAGAATGAAACCGAGAAGTTTCTACCCGAATTGTTGAAGCAGCTACAAAACGAGAATTGGACAAACATCGTCAAGATTCGTTCAGATAAGGCTATAAGCAAAGCCTTTCGAGTGTTAAACAAAAGGACCATGGTGATAGAAGAATCCATCCATGTTGTATTCGATGAGGGAAGCGCCCGCCGAGAAGTAAATTTATTAACCAAAAGGTTAAAATAGTTGCATGTTCGAGCAGACAGTCAGCCAAGCCAGGGTAATGCATCAGATTCGTCAAAACGAGTAGTTGAAGACGAAGAGATCAACCGAGAAGTGGATTCTGAGTCGTTGGAAGATGTAACCATTCGACTGCCCATCCAGCTTCCACCTCTCGTACAATTATAGGAAGTGGTAGAAACACCAAACATTCATGACGTGGATGAACAAGCACCTCCAACAGATTTTCAACCCGATTTAAGGTGGTTAAGGGATCATCCTCTAGATCAAGTGATTGGAAATGTAAGCTAAGGCAAGGAGTAAGGACTAGATCATCCATTCGAGAAAGTATGATGGCATGTTTTCTTTCACAACTCGAGCCAAAAGTTGTTAAAGAAGCACTAAGTGATCCGGATTGGATACAAGTCATGCAAGAAGAGCTCCATCAATTCCAAAGGAATGATATATGGGAGCTAGTTCCTAGACCTTCACACCAAAATGTAATTGGGACAAAGTGAGCATTAGGAACCAAATGGATGAAAAGGGCATCATTGTTAGGAACAAAGCTCGATTGGTTGCTAAAGGCTATTATTAATAGGAAGGAATTGATTTTGATGAAACTTTCGCTCCAGTGGCAAGATCGGAATCTATAAGGATATTTTTATCCTATGCTGCTTATAAAGACTTCAAGGTGTTTCAAATGGACATCAAGAGTGCATTTTTAAATGGATTATTAGAAGAAGAAGTCTACGTTGAGCAACCGCCAAGTTTTGTGGTAGATATGGGTGGAGACAAAGTCTACAAGCTGAAAAAGGCATTGTATGGATTGAAACAAGCACCAAGAGCGTGGTATGACACCCTCTCGTGTTTTCTAATCAAGTGTGGATTCATGAAAAGTCAAGTGGATAAGACACTATTTCAGATCAAGGATGGTAATCATATCCTTTTGGTGCAGATTTGCGTGGATGATATTATCTTTGGAAGCACCAACTCGTCTCTATGAGAGAAGTTCTCGAAATTCATGCAAAAGCAAATTCAAGATGAGTATGATGGGGGAACTTAATTATTTTATTGTCTTACAAGTAAAGCAAAGCATAGAAGGGATTTTCATCAACCAAATTAAATATACAAAGGATTTGATAATGAAATTTGGTGTAGATGGAAAGTCATTAGTAAAAATTCCTATGAATACTTCATTGAGTATGGATGTTAACAATGAAGGAAAGGAAGTGGATCAAACCAAGTATAGAGGTATTATTGGCTCTCTATTGTATCTAACTGCTAGTAGACCGGATATCTCTTTTGCTGTTGTTGTTTGTGTGAGATTCCAGTCAAACCCTAAGGAAAGTCACCTCACAGCCACTAAAAAGATTCTAAGATACCTCAAATGTACGAAGGTGTAGGACTTTGGTATCCGAGAGGTGGATCTTTTGAGCTATTTGGCTACTAGGATGCAGATTTTGCTAGATGCAAAATTGACCGAAAGGGCACCTCAGGAACATGCTAATTTATTGGAGGTAGGTTCGTCTCTTGGTTTAGCAAGAAAGAAAACTCCATTGCTACAAGTATCGCGAAAGCTGAGTATATAGCAGCGTTATGCTCAAGTGCTTTGGATGAAACAACAACTAAAAGACTATGGAATAGAAGCAACAGAAATTTGCACAAAGTGTGACAACACTAGTTCTATTGCTATAACACATAATCCAGTGTTACACTCAAGGACAAAGCACATTGATATTAAATATCATTTTATCCGAGATCATGTAGAGAAGAAGGATATTGT